TGTGTGTGTGTGTGTGTGTGTGTGTGTGTGTGTGTGTGGTCCTGAGGATTGAACCCAGGGCATCAAGCATGCTACTCAAGTGCTTTATCACTGAACAATACCCCAACCCCTCATCTGTTTTTAATTGGCAAATATGTAAACTTTCTTATGACTTCTAAATTTGAATGAAGACATTTACTCCCCTAGATTGTTCATAATGGATTTCTTGGATTTCCCTCTAAAAGTTTTATTGATTTTCTAATTTCTATTTGTCTTTAAAGCCTAAGGAATTTACTTTTTTTTATATGTAACAGTCTGGTGATCTAGTTAACAAAAGTATATTCAGTGTGTACTATTCACTTAGCACCGTGCCTCTAAGCTAAAATGGAAGGAACACTCTTGGCATGTGGCCCACCCATGAGAAGGCAGGAGGACACCAAAACCTGAGTCATCACCCCCTCCATCCAGAAATTTCTGTTCCAACTGTTTTCACAAATAATATAAAAATCATAGATGGTAAGAAGTGTGGGGTTAGGTTTTATATGAGGTTTCCAGGGCTGACATAACAAACTACTATAGACTTAGTAGCTTAAACCACAGCAATGTATTTTCAAATGGTTCTGGGGACTCAAAGTCCAAGTGTCAGCAGGGTCCATTTCCTTAGAGGCCTCCGCACTTGCTTGGTAGATGGCCACCTTCTCCCTTCGTCCTCACATGCTCCTCCTTCTGTACATGTGTCTAGGTCTGAACTTCTTCTCTTTATAAAGATACCAGTCCTGATGGATTAGCTCTGACTGACCTCATCTTAACTTGATTTCCTGTTTAAAAACCCTGTCTCCAAAGATGCTCACATTCCAAGATGCAGATTTTAAGGGGACACAATTTATTCCATAATGAGTTTCAAATGTTTTGTACAATCAGCAAGCGCCATTAGCTATCAGTGAGAGGGAGATCATTGAAGGCTTCATGGAAGGGAGAGCAAAGGCCAGAGATGGGCACTGAAGGGCACTTGTTGGATCAGTGAGGTGGTGAAACACTCTTCTATGAGAAGATGAGAACAAGCAAAGTTATGGCTCCAAAATGTGTCGGGATTCTCATGAGGTTATTGGACTAAACAGAGGAGATAGTTCATTTTGGGGAGAAATAAGAGATAAAATCAGAATTTTATCTGGATTAGGAGAAGTATAACCTGGATTTAGGAGAAGTCTAGTTTGAAAAAAAAAAGGAGCCATCATAATTTTTTTTAAAAAAATGAAATTTTATAATTGAAATAATATTTAAGACAGAAAAAAAAATCTGGCTTATGATTGTGAAATAAAGCATGGAGACCAGATTAAGACTGACACAATTATCATATGGGTGATTGGGCCCAGAGTGGTGGCAGTAGCAACTAAACAGAATGGGAGATGAATATTAGACATTTCAAAGAATGTGTCAAAAAATGGACAGACGTTATTCATTGAAGGAAGGCAAGAAGGCTGAGGCAAAGGCCACAGAGTATTTTGAACCAAGACAACAAACAATGGTGCCATTGAGATTGTAGGGAACAGAATTTTGGAAAAAAAGAGGACCACTGGTTCATTTGAGTCTGGAGTTCAAGATAGAAGTATTCATTGGGGAATAACAAATTAGGGCAGGGGCTCTTGTAGGGGGAAAGGTCAAATCTGAGATGTGCATCAGCATGGAGCAGTTGGTGCAAACTGCAGGAATTCAGGGTGAACTTTTATTAAGCCCTTATTATATGTCAAACATTTCCTTAAGTGCTGGGAGTACAAAAATAAATAAGGCATTTTCTGCCTTCAGAAACCTCATCATCCTCTGTTGGGAAGGCAAGAGGTGGTCGATAATGCTCAGTGATGAGGAAGTCAGAGATAATAAGGACAGATAAAGGGCCTTCGGATTTTTCAATGAAGTGTACCTTTGACCTTCAAGAAGGCATTTTTCAATAGAGTCTTTGTAACTGAAATCAGATTGAATAGGGATCATTTGATGAGCAAATGGAGACAAGATCAAGAATTCCTGTATTACCAGAAACGTCTCTTCTGGTTTTCACTCTTGTGGCATTTAATAAGATTCTTTGCCATCTTCAGTTTCATTTGTGTTACAATAGTAAGGTGCTGGTATTTTAATCCAGATTTGAAATAGTATTAAAGCCACGTTAAAATTTAGTCATAGGCCACTTTGAAATGTCTCTAAAAATAGTAAGAGTATACGGTAACTAGATACTGTATTTTCTTGCCATTCAGATTCAAATGAGATAAGTGGATATGACCAAGACACTTTAAAAATGAAAAAAAAAAAAACTTTGCAAGAGCAAATAGAAGCTATTTAAGGATCAACACTGGGATAATCAAAAGAAGGAAAAATATAAAATACTACTATTTTAGGTGTTAGCAAGAATTCAAGCTTTACCATCTTTTGCCTAGGACAGTCTATGACAGTAGCTAGATATGGCACAGATATTTTTTTCTCCCTCCACCTCCTTGTCCTGTTCCTATGGAGAAGGAAAATAAAATGGGAGATAAATTGATTAGAAAAGTGTCCAGGCTATTATTAATCCCTGTTAACATAATTCCCTTAACAACGAACTCACTTTCTTTTGTTTTATTCAAAAAAGGGCAGTAAATATGGTTGTTTTGATTATCTCTGGTTAGCTTTGGTCCATGTAGTACACCTTTTAAAAAGTCCTCCTAATTACTTGATCTTCTCTATCGTCCAGTAATTTCCCACACATTTTGAAATAAGTGAACTGGATAGTATTAGTCTACAAGTGCTGTTGTGACAAATACACTCACCTAGCAGGCTAGGTATGAGACTAGAAAGTTAGACATCTGAGTCTTCCATGCTATTTGGAGCTGAGTAACCCTCCCACAGTTGTTTATATATACTAAGTATTACATATTCATTGACTTGAATAGATTTAACTTGACTGGATCAGTATGTTTGGGGATGATTCAGTTTCTCTCTGTATTTCTTCATCTGTGGGTTAGAAACCATTGCTGTCCCTTTATTATTTGCAATAATGATATATTGCCCTTAAAGTCTTGCTAAGAAATATATACTCAGATATATGTTGAATGCACCATTCTCCAGCATCACCCAGACACACCTCTCCCCCTGATCCTGACGTAGTTGTCAAGTAGCCATTCTCTAACAACTGCAGTTGGTAGACGGGGTGCTTAAGAGTCTTGAAAACTAGAAATATTTAGTGAGAAGCCTATTAATTCTGTAAATATAAAGCCATTTGTCATGAATATAAACAACCAAGCATGTAGATCATCAGAAGTTCTGTTGTTCTAGCTTTAAGAAGTTGGCTATGTTGACAGAAAGATCCGGAAAAGATGACCAAATGTATTCCTTCTTGGTCAGTATTTTTAAATTGAATCCAAAAATTCTAAGGGTTTATCTTTCTAAATTTTCATGAAAGATAGATTAGGCATCTAAAAACATGTCAACCCTACAAATGAGCAGACTGCTCATTTGGGCCATAAGCAGATGGTGCTTTAAAATGAAGATCTCCCAGGGCTTGAGTGGTTGGGCCACTCACCAGGGTCATAGAAGGGGGCAGGAAGGAATAGCAGATGTTGTATGAATATAATGACCCTTTTAAAAATGTTTTATGGGACTGAATAGTCACTGATAGAGCAATTGCCTGATATGTGCAAGAGCCTGTGTTCAATTCCCATCATCACCAAAAATATAAAAATGAATAATTTTTCTGCCAACTTTGTCCTCCTCCTCCATCCTATGAATTGGTGTATCCTACTCCACATTGCTTTTCTTCCTCTTCTTTTCTTTCCCTTAGCTCTCAAGACATTTGGAAGATAGTATGAGGCAAGGATTATGGTAAGGGTTGGTGGGGGAACATATTTCCTCTTCCTCCCAATTTTCACCTCAGTTGTTTCATATAAATTCTTATTTACCCCAGAAGGAAAACATTTCATGATAAAAGTCTTTGTACTTAAATATTTGTTCATGATCTCCTTTCTTATAGATATCTCTCAAGGAAAAGACCCAAAAATATTGAGACCCCCAAGACGACCCCGGAAACCCAAAACATTAAATAACCCCGAAGATTCCACATACTATTATCTACTACATGTAAGTGGCTCACTCTTACCCACGGGAGCCAGAGTATGTTCTGAAGGCCAGTGTGCTGCAGCAGGCACACTGTCACAGAGGAAGGCCTGGCAAAGCAGAGACACCTCTGGATTGCCTCTTCACTGACTTTCCCCCAGCTGAGTATCTGGGCACTTTCCTGTCCTCTCACCCCTCTTCCTCATGGTCCAGATCTCTCCTATGGTCCTGGACCCACTGTGTTCTGACAGCAACTTTCTTTGCTGGCCATTAATCTGAGCTTATATGCAAATATCAACCCAGAAAGGGAAAGCCATCATGACTGGAGCTGTCTACAGAGGGTGTGTATTAAGGAATGCAAATGGGTGGGTTATGGTGAAAGAGAAGGGCACATTCATTGAACACCTTAAATTGCAGGCTTAAAGATTTGCTTGTTCACAATCACTGTAATTTCTAATCCCAGAAGCAGCCTTTAATGTCATATCCGCATCTCGTGGTTCAGGATTCCAAGACACAGGTAAGCATGTGTGGGCCACCAATTTTACGAGGTCTTCTGACTCCACTCACAGTTTGCAGATGGGAACTCAATGACATCACTCCTGCTAGGTGTCCCTTGCTCTCATGTTCCTCCTCTCCATAAATCCCACTGTTGTCCACTTGGTTTTCTAAACCAAGAACCTGGAAGTCATCCTGAATCTTGCTTCACCCTTTCATACCTGATCCATTGCTCTAAACTGACGTCTATGGACAAAAGCTCACTGCAATTCATCTTCCTTCTGAAACCTCACAGCATCTACCCTGTTTCAGACCATCATCATTTCTCACCTGGAGTATTTCCAGCCCCACCTACCTGCTTCTAATCTCACCTCC